ACTAGAACTTAGCTACACCATATAGTCATTTCTCCTCCCACCCATGGCTTGCTTTATAAACACGTAAATCTCTTCCAGTCCAATCTCCCACTCATTCTTTGCAAAAAATTTTGCAAATCTTCGAAGCCATTCTCTCTTTTCTCGTCAATCCTACCATGAAGATGGAGCATCGCAATCTCCACAAGGTGGACAATTCCGTGCCAAAATCCGAGCTCATCACGTCGCCATTCCGCAGCAGAAACGATCCAGAGAGCGCATCGCCACACTTCTCCCCGGGAGTCTTCCACACGCCAAGGTACTCCCCATCTCCATTCCGCCACCCGATTCGAACTCCAGCACGCTCGCCGCAAGTCGATCCCGGTGTCGATCCCCTCCACCCCAATGGCCACTTCCACTACTCCCACCGCGCGCCATGGCTGCGAGCTCTCGTCCTGGGCGCCAACGATGGCCTCGTCTCCACCGCCTCATCCATGATCGCCATGACCGGAGCTCGCAATGGCGCCGCGGTGCTTGCCGGCATCGCGGTCCTCGTCGCGGGCGCTTGCAGCATGGCGATCGGTGAGTACGTCTCCGTCTCCTCGCAGCGCGACACCGAATTGAGCGACATCGAGAAAGAGCGCAAGGAATTCCAGTCGGGCCCCGAGGCCGTGGCCAAGGAGCTGGAGGAACTCACGCAGATCTACGTCACGCGGGGGCTACACTATGGATTGGCGCGCCAGGTCGCCGAGGAGCTCTCGCGGGAGGATCCCGTGAAAATCCACGCGCGGGAGGAGCTCGGCATCGATGTGGATGATCTCGCCAATCCTATCCAGGCAGCGCTCGCGTCCGCGACGGCGTTTTCCTCCGGGGGGATGATTCCCCTGCTTGCCGGGGCGTTTGTGGAGGGATTCAAGCTCCGGATGATCGCATTGGCGGTGTCAACCAGCGCTGGGCTCTTCATTTTCGGGGCGATTGGGGCGTGGATGGGCGGGAGCCCGCTGCCAAAGTCGATTGCAAGGGTCGTGTTGGGAGGATGGATGGCAATGCTTGTCACGTTTGGAATATTGCGTCTCTTTAGCAAGGTAGCTCCCATCTAAAATTACTTGTGTGTCTATACGAGTGTGGTGGATCCAAGTAAATAGTTTTTCTTGTGTTTGCTTTGCTTGTGTGTAAACATTGTTTTTTACAAGTGAATGGGAAATCTACTCTGTAACTAGTGATTAATTAGAACACATAAGCCAACTTACTTCTACGTCGTTTTAGT